GGTTGTTAGTCTGTAGTGAATAAATAGGAGAGAGGTTGTTAGTTTGTAGTGAATAAATAGGAGATAGGTTGTTACTCTGTAGTGAATAAATAGGAGAGTGGCTATTGGTGTGTAGTGAATAAATAGGAGATAGGTTGTTACTCTGTAGTGAATAAATAGGAGATAGGTTGTTAGTTTGTAGTGAATAAATAATGATAGGTTAAACATCAATAATGCTTCTGTTAACTACATAATTCATTGTGAATGATAGATTCTATCACTCTCCTATTTATTCACTACACACCAACAGCCAATCTCCTCATAATTTATTGTTAATGATAGGTTAAACATCAATAATGTTTCTGTTAACTACATAATTTATTGTAACTACTACTGCTTCTGTTAGCTACATAATTAGGTTAAATATCAATAATGCTTCTGTTAACTACTACATAATTTATTGTTAATGATAGGTTAAACATCAATAATGCTTCTGTTGTATTGATATTTAACCTATCATTGAGGTTTCCAGTGAACATATATATGTTTTTAATTACAATGTGCAGGTATATGATGCCACGAATACGTCCATCGAAAGGAGGAAGTTAATTCATCATCTTGTTTGCAACAGGTTCGGTTTTAAGCTCTTTTTTGTGGAATCAATATGTGATGATCCAAAAATCATTGAATCAAACATTATGGTAATTTTTTAAGTCATTGTTTTGGTTATAGTGTTAATTTTAAGGGTTTTATTATTTTTGGCAATTTTTCCAAACCTATATATCAGGTATCAAGCTAGTTCATGCTATGAATACAACTTGTGAATAATTAAACTTTCTGACCAGGAAACAAGGTAAACTACAAGTAAAGAAACGATTACACTAACAGAGAACAAAACACCCACTTAATACATGTTCTGGTTTCTGTAAACATTTATTTCAGGAATATGAATAGTTGTTATACCAGATATGTTGTAAAAACATATGTGAAACTTGTTTCACTGCAAACATTTATTTCAGGAATATGAATAGTTGTTATACCAGATATGTTGTAAAAACACATGTGAAACTTGTTTCACTGCAAATATTTATTTGAGGAATATGAATAGTTGTTATACCAGATTTGTTGTAAAAACACATGTGAAACTTGTTTCACTGCAAACATTTATTTCAGGAATATGAATAGTTGTTATACCAGGTATGTTGTAAAAACACATGTGAAACTTGTTTCACTGCAAACATTTATTTCAGGAATATGAATAATTGATAAATAGTTTATTTGATAACAACTCTGGATATGACATGTGAAGTATGGTTGATATATTATTCCTTTTCTTCTTCACTTTCACTCATAAATTCTGAGAATTACTAATGAAATTTTTTTCGTTTGATGCTGTGGTTGTTTGACCCACTCTGTAAGTTACAAGACTAACTTTTTAGTTTGCCAGCTTTACTGAATGCTAGCCAAAGTTAGTTCAGATAAACATGTTGTGTTTTAACCCTAACTGTAATTCTAGTTAGTAAATAACTAGTGTAAAATTACATTTCCCCATCTTAATCTAGTTCCCACTATAACAGTTGTTGATCATGCAATTTGATAATATAGATAGCGTCTGAACCACTACAGTATTTGTCATATCCCAGGTGGCCTGATACTATGTGAAATGTCCTTTCAGCCCTGGATGTAGGAGATACTGAGTGATTGATAAACTGGTTTTCATTCTTTCACTCTTAGGTTCTTAAGAATACCTAATATACTGAAGCTATAGCTGCTAGATTAATAGGAATTACATTTTAAACAACAGAAATCTTTCCTTAAATTTTAGGTTTCAGTAACTTTTAGCTTATAAAATAAATTTTAATTAAGTGTACATAAATTTGATGAAGAGAAACCCACTTGTTAGAAAATAAATGGTTGGAGATGGCTAGACTGGGTAATGAAGAAAACTTTATGTTTATTTTTTCACAAGTGGTTTTTCATCATCAAATTTAAATTAATCATGGCAATCACTCGAGCTTTGGAAGTCTAAACATTTGTCTTTGTTATTCTACGTATATCTTCCCACCACTATAAATCTATCATATCACACAAAAGTACCCGAGGATGACATAATATTGTCAAAAGTTCATACATTTATAATAAAATTTTCTTCATTACCCAGTCAAGCCATCTCCAAATGTTTAAGTGTACATAAATCTTTTCTAAAGCTGTATAAAAACAACTATGAGAGATATTTAAAAAAATACAGATATGGTGTAATCAATATTTTTAAAAAAATTAGTAATCACTTTTCTCACCACACATAATTCTATTAATTTTATTTCATGGAAACTACTGTATATAGGTAAGCTAACCCTATTGCATATGAGTAAACTAACCCTACCAAAACACTGTTATTGGCAATTGTCTAATCCACTAAATTAGTAAAACTAAGGCCGTGTTACTAAAATACATGAATTTGAAGGGTTTATTTACGCTGTGTGCTCTCCAAAATAGCTTTAGATCAAATAAAATCTTTCCACACTAAACCTACATTATTTTGATGTTTTGTAGTGACAATAAAAGACTTGTGGAGTATCTGTTTATGCAAATTTACTTATAAATTAGAAACTAAAAAAAAACAAGTGTTTTTTTTCTCTCACTGACTTTTGAAAGTACTACTTACAAATTCTAGAAAATATTAAGAAAGCCTTACAATTACACTTTTCAGGAAGTTAAGATACGTTCTCCAGACTACAAAGGCATGAACAAAGATGAGGCAGTGGATGACTTTATGAAGAGAATTAGCTACTATCAAGAATGTTATGAACCACTGTGTGAAAAAGAAGAGAAACATTTGTCATTCATGAAAGTATTCAATACTGGAGCTAAGGTTCTCGTACACAGGCATGAAGGTGAGAAAGCTTGTATTTACAACAAAAATGAAATTTTATATAATTAAACTAACTACAATATCACAAATATAAATTCAAACATTTTTTTTTTCTCTGTTCAATAAACTGGTTCCTAAAATTAATTAGCTTAAAAATTACAACTTATGTAATAAACTATATATAAACTGTTTGTGCTCATAATTATAAGTTTATGTTGTTTTAACGGAACATATTAGTTTATATAGTGTATGCACATATTTATAGATAACCTTCCAAATACAGTAAGGTAGTGTATTATCTTACTGACTTGTTTGGTATGTCGTTGATCCCCAATACAGTCCTTTTGAATATCTAAGATACTAAAAAAAAAATAGAAAGCTTTAAAGAAAAGTTCAAAACTGTATCAGAAACCTAGTTTATTGTTTTTCAAGATCCTTTTGTTGGAATATTGTGGACTCAGTAGTTTTATTAAAGTTTTTGTTGAAATACTGTAGACTAAATAGTTTTATTAAATTTTTTATGTTAACGTCTGTACTGCTGACAGTTTCTATATGTAAAGTTGTATTTTGTTTCAATGTACATTTATGTTGCTTCTTTTACAGGGCATGTTCAGAGTAGGATAGTATATTATTTGATGAACATCCACATAACACCACGTTCAATCTACATCACCCGAGTGAGTAAGACAATTTAATGTCTCGATATTTTACACTTCTCTTTTGTTCAGTAAAGTGTGAAAGGGATAGAAATAAAATTACATTCACTTGAGGGAAAGCTATCATGAAGATTACATTCCCTCAGATGAAGTTCCATTTCTTCATCAATTATTTGTGTATTTAATCCATGCAATATATTCACTTTCATTGGTCATAACTGAAGGAATACAGATGGACCATGCATTCCTGATTGGAAATGGCAATTAAAAAGATGAAATTCCTTGGAAATGTAATATTTCGATCCCCGTGTGAATCATAACTCCACAGTTCTTTAAGTCTTGAATTTGAGTTTTTAAAGTGTTCCAAGTCTTTGAGTAATTACACCATCCTCGATAGTAAAGCTTTTAAATGAAAGAACTTAAAATATTCAAGTTTTCTGCTTTTAGAGATTAAAATAATAAAATACTTTATGTGTGTATGTTTCATTGTCCTTCCTTAACTATATGTGTAGTAAAACACAGTTAGAGAGATGTAGAAACTTTGATGAAGATAGTCAGTAGACTTTTGGATAACAATATTGTAACGTCTCCGTTTGTTAATTGATTTCCCGTAACTTCGTTCCGACGAAACTTTAGCGACACAAGTCCTTTCTTAATAAAACTGGTTTATTCTTTCCGAATACAACTTTACCGATACATTTTTTCATTTTCACATTTTCAACAGTCGCGCTATAACAAAGAACGTGCTCAACTTCAACAATCATATCTGACTGCAGTTCAATTACTCACTACCTACACACATTATCCCGTCACGTTGTGACCATCTTATATATACCAGACTACCCTATATCTAGTAAATGCTAGGGCATTCACGAAGGAACAAGATATTTCCAGAAAGCAGGTGGCGTGACACTAGTCACGTGACCTCGCTGACGCAACAATATATTTCATATTGTTTATGAAATTATAAGCATTATACATGAAACAATATTTATGTCAAATTTCAGGGCTGACTGTCATCGATGAGAGTGCATGAAAATTCTTAACTATTGTTTGATAGATAAATTCAACCAAATTTGTTGAAATTAGAAAGTCACTAAATTTAAATTAGAAACTAATCTTTTTTGGTCAAACTTTAATAAAATAGCTTCTTATACAAATCTCCCACAGTACTGGAAATAATTATGGAAACTGTGAGGACAAGGAGTATAAAATACAAAAACTACATGAATGCCACCTGTTTAGTGTGTGAAAATAAACTGTACTATAGTTTGTTTTTTCAGTGAATTTGTTTTTCACACTAGAATATTTGTATTTTGTCATTAACAGTTTTAAAGATTTCCATGTTTCAAATGTTATTATACTGAGTTACTGATAATTTGTACTTAAGCCACTAGGTGGATCACATAATGGAGTAAAATAATTTCAATTCTATTGTCTTTTTTTAAATGTCCAGTGGATGTATACTAAGATAGATAGCAATGAGACTAAGAAGGATATAACAGGATCTTTATTCTCTCAACATTTCAACTACAAGCCTTCTTCAGTGCCTTACATGGTATATATATACAGGATTAGGTTCCTGGTTGCTGTGCCATGCCTCTCCCTTATTGGTTCATTATCATCGTCTGTCAACCACCACATGACCAATCAGCATCCCACTTTCATCTCACTAGGCTAGCTACTGTTTCTGTCCAGTTGTAGTCTCCCAATGTTCTGTTAATGTTCCTTTCTAATAAGATGTAAGCAGCTTCTATAGCTTTCCTTTGTTGTTTTTTCATCCCTTTGCTGATAGCTTTAGTTTCCTTCCATTTAGGCAGGGGTTCTGCTTCCTCTACATGTGCTACTATTGTGTTGGTTGTATTGTGTCTTCTAACGTCTGCCTTATGCTAATTTATTCTGATTGTCAGGCCTCTGCCAGTTTCATCTATATAAACTATACTGCATCCACCACATGGAATGCAGTATACTGCTATATGCTGTGTGTTTCTTTCTTCTGTCCTTTACCTATCCTATTCTTATTCATTACCACCTATGTGGTTGTGTGTCTCATTAGTCTGTTGATGGGACTTGCATCACTGGCCACTGGGGACCACCATGAACTTCTTGTCTCTTTCATCCTGTCTGCTGTTGTTGTTCCTTTCCATGATGTTCCTCCTTTAGCTTTATAAACATGCCTGCTGTCATTGTTCCTTTCCATGATGTTCCTCCTTTAGCTTTATAAGCATGCCTGCTGTCGTTGTTCCTTTCCATGATGTTTCACCTTTAGCTTTA